AGATATTAACAAAGATAAATATAAAAGGTAGGTTACAATGCGGCATAAACAAAGATTAAATCTAAACTAGACTAACTCTTATCAATACTGTGACATGCGACTGACCATTATGATTATTAGGATATTATGTAGAGCAGAAACAAGTGATCAAAAGAAAATGAAGTGGCAGCTGTTTTGACAATCAATGAATCATTTCCGTCACTTTTCAAGAAAAAAAAAAAAGCAGACGACATCCTGTTCCAGCCTCCCCCATATGAAAATGTTTTCACTATTTTCTGACATATTATAGACTGAATTATTAGTTGTTCCATATAAAAATAATGTGCAGATGAACTGATAATGAAACTGTTAGTTGGAACTGTAATATGATGTGAGCACATTATAATTATATTATGGAAAACACATTACAGTCAACTGATGCAATGGTTGCATCCCTTATAGTAGAGTGAAATTAACATACAGTTTGGACACTGTTCCTTCAGGTTATATCACCCTGCAGTTTGTACCATGTACTGTGTGAAAGCCATCGTTAGACATAAACAGCTTGTATTCATATTGTATTCATCATCTTTGTCTAAATGAGGGCTGAATAATTCACCTGACATAACACAGTTTACCAAATGTCCACATTAAGATAGTTCCCACTGACAGACTGGATCCCACTATCAGGTCTTATAAGTAGATAATCAGATATGTAATCGTGTCAAACAGATGAAACCATTCCTCCTATGAGCTACAATGTGTCATGCTTTAACCGGCTTTAACGTTAGCTAACTGCTAGCTGCCTCCAGCCACCTTCAACCCGCCCATGTTAAACAGCCATTTCAAATAAATACGGTACACCAAGCCAACTCGGACCAACCTTGACATTGACATGCTGTACCTGGTCAGGTGTACTGGGCGGACAACCTGCAGCTCTGCGGTCAGGTCATGCTCAGGCTAACCCTTTAGCTAAGGTCCCCGCTGACTGCTGCTGCAGACCCGCAGCAAAGAGCGGCGGCGGTCACGAAGATTGTCTATTCAACAGACGTTTCACTCAACTGTA